TGGGTCCTTTCTCTTTTCTTTTTGATAAGTCTGGCCAGGGGTTTATCAATCTTATTAATTCTTTCAAAGAACCAGCTCCTAGTTTCGTTGATTTGTTCTATTGTTTTTTTGGTTTCTATTTCATTGATTTCTGCTCTGATCTTTATGATTTCTCTTCTCCTGCTGGGTTTAGGGTTTCTTTCTTGTTCTTTCTCCAGCTCCTTTAGGTGTAGGGTTAGGTTGTGTACCTGAGACCTTTCTTGTTTCTTGAGAAAGGCTTGTACCGCTATATATTTTCCTCTCAGGACTGCCTTTGTCGTGTCCCACAGATTTTGAACCGTTGTGTTTTCATTATCATTTGTTTCCATGAATTTTTTCAATTCTTCTTTAATTTCCTGGTTGACCCATTCATTCTTCAGAAGGATGCTGTTTAGTCTCCATGTATTTGGGTTCTTTCCAAATTTCCTCTTGTGATTGAGGTCTAGCTTCAGAGCATTGTCGTCTGAAAATATGCAGGGAATGATCCCAATCTTTTGATACCGGTTGAGACCTGATTTAGGACCGAGGATGTGATCTATTCTGGAGAATGTTCCATGTGCACTAGAGAAGAATGTGTATTCTGTTGCTTTGGGATGAAATGTTCTGAATATATCTGTGATGTCCATCTGGTCCAGTGTGTCATTTAAGGCCTTGATTTCCTTGTTGATCTTTTGCTTGGATGATCTGTCCATTTCAGTGAGGGGAGTGTTAAAGTCCCCTACTATTATTGTATGATTGTCGATGTGTTTCTTTGATTTTGTTATTAATTGGTTTATATAGTTGGCTCCTCCCACATTAGGGGCATAGATATTAAAATCGTTAGATCTTCTTGTTGGACAGTTCCTTTGAGTATGATATAGTGTCCTTCCTTATCTCTTATTATAGTCTTTGGCTTAAAATCTAATTGATCTGATATAAGGATTGCCACTCCTGCTTTCTTCTGATGTCCATTAGCATGGTAAATTCTTTTCCACCCCCTCACTTTAAATCTGGAGGTGTCTTCAGGTTTAAGATGAATTTCTTGTAGGCAACATATAGATGGGTTTTGTTTTTTTATCCATTCTGATACCCTGTGTCTTTTGATTGGGGCATTTAGCCCATTAACTTTCAGGGTAAGTATTGAGAGATATGAATTTAGTGCCATTGTATTGCCTGTAAGGTGACTGTTATTGTATATTGTCTCTGTTTCTTTCTGATCTACTACTTTTAGGGTCTCTCTTTGCTTAGAGGACCCCTTTCAGTATTTCCTGTAGAGCTGGTTTGGTGTTTGCAAATTCTTTCAGTTTTTGTTTGTCCTGGAAGCTTTTAATCTCTCCTTCTATTTTCAATGATAGCCTAGCTGGATATAGTATTCTTGGCTGCATGTTTTTCTCGTTTAGTACTCTGAATATATCATGCCAGCTCTTTCTGGCCTGTGGATAAGTCTGCTGCCAATCTAATATTTTTACCATTGTACGTTACAGACTTCTTTTCCCGGGCTGCTTTCAGAATCTTCTCTTTGTCACTAAGACTTGTAAATTTTACTATTAGGTGACGGGGTGTGGACCTATTCTTATTGATTTTGAGGGGGGTTCTCTGAACCTCCTGGATTTTGATGCTTGTTCCCTTTGCCATATTGGGGAAATTCTCTACAATAATTCTCTCCAATATATCTTCTGCTCCCCTCTCAATTTCCTCTTCTTCTGGAATCCCAATTATTCTAATGTTGTTTCGTCTTATGGTGTCACTTATCTCTCGAATTCTGCCCTCGTGGTCCAGTAGCTGTTTGTCCCTCTTTTGCTCAGCTTCTTTATTCTCTGTCATTTGGTCTTGTATATCGCTAATTCTTTCTTCTGCCTCATTTATCCTAGCAGTGAGAGCCTCCATTTTTGATTGCACCTCACTAATAGCTTTTTTTTATTTCAACTTGGTTAGATTTTAGTTCTTTTATTTCTCCAGAAAGGGCTTTTATGTCTCCCGAGAGGGTTTCTCTAATATCTTCCATGCCTTTTTCGAGCCCGGCTAGAACCTTGAGAATCGTCATTCTGAACTCTAGATTTGACATATTACCAATGTCTGTATTGATTAGGTCCCTAGCCTTTGGTACTGCCTCTTGTTCTTTTTTTTTGTGGTGAATTTTTCCGCCTTTTCATTTTGTCCAGATAAGAGTATATGAAGGAGCAAGTAAAATACTAAAAGGTTGGCAACAACCCCAGGAAAATATGCTTTAGCCAAATCAGAAGAGATTCCCAAATCATGAGGGGGGGAGAAAGGGGATAAAAAGAGGTTCAGAAAGAAAAAAAAAAAGAAAGAAAGAAAGAAAGAAACAATTAAAAAAAGAAAACCAATAAAGAAAAAATATAAAATGGAAAAAAAAAATATATATATATATTAGATAAACTAGTTAAAAAACATTAAAAAAGAAAAGGGTAAAAGTTAAAAAAAAATTTACCAGAAGAAGAAAAAAAAAATTGAAAAAGAAAAAAAAATTAAATTAACTGCAAGGCTAAAGAATCATGGGGAGAAAGCCATGAGTTCCGTGATTTGTGTTCTCCTCCTCTGGAATTCCGCTGCTCTCCTTGGTATTGAAACTGTACTCCTTGCTAGGTGAACTTGGTCCTGGCTGGGCTTCTTGTTGATCTTCTTGGGGAGGGGCCTGTTGTAGTGATTCTCAAGTGTCTTTGTCCCAGGCGGAGTTGCACCGCCCTTACCAGGGGCCGGGCTGAGTAATCTGCTCAGGTTTGCTTTCGGGAGCTTTTGTTCTCTGAGCGCTTTCGTAGAGTTCCGGAGGGCGGGAATGAAAATGGCGGCCTCCCGGTCTCCGGCCCGAAGGATCCAAGAGCCCGGGGCCCCACTCCTCAGTGCGTCCTCAGAGAACAGCACCCAATTACTCCCGTCACCCTGGCCTCCGGCCGCGCTCCGAGCTAACCGACCCTGCGACCGGTTCAAGGGAACCCCGAGCTGTGAGCTCACTCCTCAGCTCTGTCTCTGTAGCCGGCTTCCCCGTTCTAATACCTGTAAGCTCTGCGACACTCAGACACCCCCGATCCTTTTATGACCCTGCGGGACCTGAGGCCACGCTGACCCCGCGTGGGCTTCACCCCGGTTTAGCCTCTGGAGCGATGTCCCTCAGCGGAACAGACTTTTAAAAGTCCTGATTTTGTGCTCCGTTGTTCCGCCGCTTGCCGGGAGCCGGCCCCTCCCGCCGCGGTCTATCTTCCCGTCGCTTTGGATTCACTTCTCTGCCAGTCCTACCTTTCAGAAAGTGGTTGATTTTCTGTTTCTAGAATTGCTGTTCTTCTTCTCTTCGATATCCCGTTGGATTTGTAGGTGTTTGCAATCTTTAGATAAGCTATCTAGCTGATCTCCCGCTACCCGAAGTAGTCTCAGCCTGCTACTTCTCTGCCATCTTGACTCCTCCCCCTGTGAGTTGCTTTTAAACATCGTTTTTGGGGCGCCTGGGTGGCTCAGAGGGTTAAGCCTCTGCCTTCGGCTCGGGTCATGATCTCAGGGTCCTGGGATCGAGCCCCGCATCAGGCTCTCTGCTCAGTGAGGAGCCTGCTTCCCCCTCTCTCTCTCTCTGCCTACTTGTAATCTTTCTGTCAAATAAATAAATAAAATCTTTAAAAAAAAATAAACATCGTTTTTATCCTTAGGAAATGATAAATAAAGAAGATGGTAAACGGCATGAAGTAAAAGTGCAATTTTCATGGTATGGAACCACCAGTAAAAAGGACAAAAGTGGTGCCTACCTCTTCTTACCTGATGGGGAAGCCAAGGTAAGTGCCATTGAGCTGAGCTGTGATTAAGGATTTATTGAAAGAGTAATGAAGAAAAAGATAACTTCACCTCATTATTCGGTCATCTGTTAGGTATAGATGAGTTGGTTCCACTATTATATTTCCTTACTGGCACTTGGCAATTGGTAGTCTTAAGTGTTAGGTAAAAAGAATAATTTTTCAGGGATGGAATTCAATAAGATGATACAATGAACAATGGATCTCCATGGAAAGAAGCCAGATTTGATGGAGTTCAGGTGCTGTCGTGGTGTTCTATACATATGTGGCATGGCATATAGACAGACACAAGTTATCTAGCCAGAGGGGAAAAATAAATTGCCCAGTTTTTCTACTTAACTTTCAACACTTAAAAAACAAAAAAAATTTTTCACTCCTTTTGACCGTAAAGGTGTAATATATGCAAATTTTGGTACATTTTTGAAAATGCAGAAGACTGAAGAAAACAATAAAATTTACTAGCTATTCCAAAGGCTGTGTAAACTACTGCCAACGTTTTGATATATTTTTTGTTGTCTTACTATGCGTATCCCTTTCTCCCCCATTTTCAAGTTTTGTCTTCTTACATTTACATATTTTTTCATTGTGACAGTGCTCACAATCAGATGGTATGTTCTTTGAAAACACAATTTTAATATATACTGTTGTGATTAAAGATCCAATGTCTAATATGGTGACTATAGTTGATAACACTGTATTAATGGATATGAGGAAGGAGTAGAACTTAAATGTTCTCACACACACACAAATGTATATATATGTGAAAAAAAAAAGAATTTCCTATTGTTGCATATGTAGATTTTCTCCCAATACTTCACTACTGTGTAGCATTGTGATAAGCTTTCTTTGTACCATCCTTTTTATGCGGTGATGATTATTTCCTGAGAATAACTTTCTAGAGGAGTCATTTTGTGTCAGTGGATGAGGCCATTAAGACTTGATTCACGCTATTTCTCTGTCCTCTAAAGTTACTGCATAAATATTCACTCCCACCAGCGTTTTTGAGAGTAGCTCTCTAATACACCACTCCAAGCACTGATAATCAGCCATATCAAAAGCTTTTCCTATAATAACGGGTGAAAAATATTTTATTGTTAAGATTTTGTGATTATTAGGGAAGCTAAACTTCATACATTTCTCTCTCCTATATCTTTTGTGAGTTTTCTGTATAAGTTCTTTGACCATTTTTCTACTGGTATGACTTACAGATCTATAAGCATTCTTTATATATGGTAAAAATTAATCCTTTTTCCTATTTATAGCAAAATGTTCCATCAGTGTGTCATTTAATTATTTTATGTTGTTACGGTATTTTTTAAATTTTTGTGTAGTCCATTCTGTATTTTTTTCTTTAGAACATCTCCTTTGCTCTTCTGCTTATATAGGTTTTCTCTATTTCAAGATAAGTTTAAATTTTTTCCCTATTTTGATGTCTAGAGACCTGTCTCCTGCAAAAGTTACTTTTGTTCTACAATTTAGAAAAGCTTGCTAACCAAAATCAAATAATAGATTTTAAAGAATAACATTGACCACCCTAAGGAATCTAGTGTTTTGTTCTTTTGATTTTTTAAAATCAGGTAGAAATTAAAGGTAAACTACAGAATGAGTAGTCATTCCAGAAAGGGCAGTGGATCCTAAGTATAAGCTGTATTAGTCTGTTTTCACTTGGACAGGAATTTAGGTGGTTTTTTTTAATGTGTGTTTTTGTTTTTTAACATTTATATTTATTTATTTGAGTAGGAGAGCCAGAGAGAGGGCACAAGCGAGGGGAGCAACAGAGGGAGAGGGAGAAGCAGACTCCCTGCAGAGCAGGGAGCCCAATGCAAGGCTGGATCCCAGAACCCTCGGATTATGACCTGAGTGGAGGGCAGATACTCAACCAACTGAGTCACCCAGGTGTCCCAGGAATTTGGTTTTGATTGACTGTTTTTTTTTTTGTTGTTGTTTATTTGACAGGCAGAGAGGCAGGCAGAGAGAGAGAGGGGAGGAAGCAGGCTCCCCACTGAGCAGAGAGCCTGACGAGGGGCTCGATCCCAGGACTCTGGGATCACAACCCGAGCCAAAGGCAGAGGCTTTAACCCACTGAGCCACCCAGGCGCCCCATTGATTGCTCTAATACTAAAGGAAAAATGAAAAGTAACTGTACTTATAGAATATTATTCATGGACAGTTGTGACTAATTTATTTAAAATTATTCTATCTTTAAATAGCTCTACTATTAAATAAAAAGACCAAGAGAATTATCATGTGTTTACAAAGAGAAAATAAAAGACTCTCAGGGAGGCAGCTGGGTGCATCAGAAGTAGATAAGAGCCCAGAAATAAATGCCCATGCCAGCTCTCGTCTTCTTCCCTTACTTTTTAGCTATATGGTAAAATTAGGTCTAAGAACTTTGTAAACTCCTAACACTTTATTTTAATTTCGGAATATTTTTTCTAGAACTAGAGAGGTACATTTGGAAGAAAACTGCACAGTCTGAAAATCTGACGCTGCTTAAGTAGAGTCTTACTTACTTACTCGACATGCCATTGTTGAGCCTTTCCAGCCTGTAATGCTTAAGAAAATATAATTCCTTGTAGAAAAAAAAAGAAAAGAAAATATAATTCTTCATAAATGCTTTCTATTTGTTTCTGTGTTGCAGGAGTTATGTTCTGTTCCTGTTTTTTCTTGACACTAGGTTCGAAACGATGCAACCTAAACCAATGGTTGCCATAGTTTTTTCAAGTTTGTAAATTTGCTTTATATTCAGCTATTTCTTTCTAGTAAAAGGGCAGTGTGTTTTATAGAGTAGTAAACCTAACTGTGATTAAACGGTGTCTCTGAATCCTGCTTTCTCTTTGCTTAGATGACTCCCTGTGGTCATCCTTGCCACCTGCCCCGACCCCTGAACATTAGGGGGCCATGGTTATAATAAATGTTTGCCTGGGAAAATGTCACTGCTGTAGAATGAATGATATTTCTAATAAATAACGTATGGACTATATAGAAGGGTTTTAATTAGAAATTTTTATAGCTGGGAGGAATGTTTGTAGATCATCTAGGCCAGTCACATTGTAAACATTTTTATTTTCTATTTTCAGCACTTTCTGTCTAATGGAAAACCTTATATTCCATTTTTATAGCATGTGCATATTCTGATACATTGTAAGGTTTGGTTTTCACTTGAAATCGCAAATATCAGGCGTTACGTATTTGCCATTTTGGAAATGGTAAAAAACATCTCTTGGAAAAGTTAAAAGCTAAAATTTTTTCTTAAAAATGTCATTTCCTCCTCAGCCTTATGTTTACACAGCACTGCCCTTTGTCAGAGTGCAACATGGAAGGTTTTACTCAGACGTGACTTGCTTTTTGGAACATGTTACCCATAGAGTTCGACTGTACAACATACAGGGTAAGAAAACAGAGAAGCATAGTTGTGAAACGTGTATACTAGTTCTGGAATTTGTGTGTGTGTCATTTTTAGTAAATTAGCCATTGGTTTTTGAACATGGTATATATGGTAGTCTTTTCTTAACTTGCTATCATACTCACTGTGTGGTTCAAAAATATACTTAACCTTTTGATAATCAGAAATGGTCAGACATTTAACTCTACATATACAGGTTCTTTCCTTATGCGTATCACCCGTATCTATCATAATATCTGTCTTGGTCATGAGTTCATTCTCTATCATAATATCTGTCTTGGTCATGAGTTCCAACCTGTGTCAGTTGGAAGCTTTATTTCTAAGATCTAAAAAGAGGGGTTTTTTTGTTTTGTTTTGCTTTTAATTTTACCAAATGGGAATTCTGTCAAGTATGGCTTTCAGTTAGTGGATCACTGACCACCTTGGGGACATACACACACACGCGCGCTACCCCTCCACCCCATGTACAGCCTGCCTTAAATATGGAATATATCACAGTAGCAGGTGTTATTGGAACTTAACTTCCTTTTAAGAAAAACATTAGTTACTAGTTCTTTTTGTTTACAACTCTTTACCTGGGAGAGTATAAAGTCAGCGATTGTTTGTTGCTTTCTGGGTGGGACCGAGCAGAGCAGGGCCGTATCAACCAAGTGATAGTAAATAGGCTTTTAATCCTCTTAGGGACTTAACCACAGGCAGTGGCTCTTGTCCTTCCTTCAGATTTGGGCAGAGCCGTGGTTCCCAGATACCCTCAGAGTTGCACATTTATTTTGGTTGGTGTTGAATTCACTGTTTTTAGAATGGAGTACTTTTCCAACCACAAGCCTAATCCTAGTAAGCGGACCACTTACCATTGTCTCAACTCTCTTAGAAAAGGACCTCATAAAAATGCCACGTTCGATTTTTCTTTGCTGTTAGCTAGGCTGCAAAAATTAGAAAAGGAAATATTGTTTCCCTGAATCTTTATACCAGTAGATAATAAAGTGTTTGAAAACTAATGATAAAATACATGCTCAGATGCTCTTTGCTTTTTGGGTTTTGTGGGGAAGCAAAGGGTACTGCGCTCAGGGAATGTTCACTTTCCTACCTGCAAGGAAGACTGTGCTTCTGAAATAAGCTTTTATTGAGTTTTCTAAAATCTCTAGAAAGTCAGAAATAATATTTTTGACTATCCCTTTCTACTCTTGCATAAGCCATTGTTCAGCGTCTCTGAGAGCTCTAAACTACACCTTCAGCTATGGCCAAAGGTTTCAAGTTTTGTGGATAGAAAGTAGCATCGTCACACAGCAGATGTGCTTATCTGCTTTTAGATTTGCTTAAAACTGTTACTTGTAATGGAATGTTTCTTCCTTGAGTACAATGGGGCACCTACTTTGGCCCAGACCTGTGTCATCAAGCATGGTTTACCGTCGTTTTTCATCAGGTATACTCAGGGGATAGGCTGTGTCGCAGAGTTAACGCTGAAGCAACTCGCCGGAGAATTCCAACTTCTCAGTCAAGTCTGTTCGCTTAATTGCTTTTGCTTTTGTTTAAATGAGTCTGTCCACCATCACGGCAGCCTCAGAGTTTTCTCAGGTTGTCCAGGGGATCTGGAGCTCATCACAGAGACGGTTTCTGTAAATTAGAGGACCTTCTGCTACTGCTGTGACTATAAGCTTAGTTTGCTGTCATATCCCAGTGGTTGATTTGGAAATTAATAGACTCTGGCTGACTTGCCTCATCCCAGAAAACACATACTTACCAGACCCTAAATGCCTTTATTTTTCTCCTCTCTCCTTCTCCCCTACTGAGTAGTCCCAAAATGCCCAGTGGCTGACTAGTAGCCCCTTAGCGTAATCAGGAACCACCAAGATTTAACTGACTCCTAGCCCTCCAAGGTGCCCATGCCCATGCCGGTGGATTAGTGAGTTAAGAAACAGAAGTTGTTCACAACTGGGGTGCTTAGAGTATTAGCATAACAAAAGTAATAATAATAAAGTAAGAGTACAAACCCCAGATTGCCTCTAGATGTCACAGTGGGTAGAATAAACAGGGTGAAGCATTTGTATTAGATTTTTGTAGTTTGAAAGCAGAAAGCTTCAGAAGTTGGTGGGAAACGACGTATAATGTGAAGTTAACCTAGAGTGCTTCTCCAGATGAGTTTTACTGTTCTTGCCTGGATTGAACCTGAAACCAGCGTATATAACTATTCAAAGTGACATAGCAATTTTTCTTTTTGCACTCTCAAGCCCAGAGCGTTTATATTTTTTGGTGTTTGGTGTTGTTTTTTGTTTTTTTTTTTTTTCCCCAACATGAAAGCTCTCAGTAGGAGATGGGAGATACCAGTTCACCTGAAAGGCTTTCATCCAGACTATACATCCTTCTGTGTTTGTATCTGAACCCCTTTCAATAGGTCTCCCTCTTGGGAAAAATAAGGCCTGTTGCGGAGAGAGAGCCTTTTTCTCAGTGGCCTTCCTGACCTCCCTCCATCTGTCATTTTCTTTCACACACCGTTGCATGAAGGCTCAGGTTGTCTGGATCCTGGCTCATTGGGGTTTTAATTCACTGATCGAAACCTAAGGAAGAGATGTGAGGTCTTCAGGGTGTTTGGATGTCGACAAGTTCAAAGTGCTTGAACGGGGTCTGTTTATGCCGCACCAAAGCAGCCGCACTTGCCATACTTGAAAGCTCTTCGATGTTTTAAACTTGGGCCTCATGTAAACCAGGCATCTGGGTGATTGATCAAAATCCATGAACAGGATGTAGCTTTCCCTCTTAGGTGTTAAAGAAAACATCAGCCAACTTACATGCTTTTGTAGATCGGCTTGTATTTAATATTTCTTAAAAGAACACAAATACCTACTTTTGAATTTAATTTACTAAACTGTCTTTGGATGTATGCTAATTTTGCCCCCTTTAAGCTGACCAGATGCAGTTACTGGATGAGTATTAAAGAATAGAGCATGTTTGTTGTTAGTACCAAATTTATGAGCCAGAAAAAATTGGGGCTTGGGGGAGAGAAACTATTAATATTTTATGATTAGATACTATCATTGTATTAGGTTACTAAACCATTAATTAAACAAAAGATTTTATTACCTCTCATCAACAAGGATAAAGAAACAGGAAGATTTGTGATATTATGGATTATTTGTCTTTACTGAGAGTCTATCTTAAGTGTTTCAAAATCAGTTCAATTGAAATACTCTTTTAAAAAAACTAAAGTAATGTGAACCTGATAAAGTATCCTTAAATTCCTCAATCTCTGTTTTAGTTACTCTTTGACCATTTTCTCCCCAAAGTAACCTTTGGCCCAAATTAAGCTTTGAGAGAAAACAAAATCAAGAACAGAACTCAAATAGCATTTCCCAGATTATAAAAACTGTGTGGTCATCATGGATTTTGCAACAAACTGAGTTGGGAGGTATGGGTTCAACCAACTTTGTTTTTTTTTTCCCCTCCTTGGTGTTTTATATTTAAGTTTCAGTGTCTTATTTGCATTCTCTCCAGGTTCTGAAAATGGTAGGAGTTGCTGTTTAGAGCCCTCTCTTAACATCATTTAAGCTATTAAAAAACACTCTGTGTTTCTTTTGATTATTGTTCAGACATTGCATTCAAAGGTTTCTAGAAATATTAAATTAGAGGAAATCTTGTGCTCACTAGCTTTAAAAGCTCTACAAGATCAGAGGGATTTGAGAGATTTCTAATGCAACACAATGTTTTGCCTTCCATCAGGTTAAATAAGAAATCCATTTTGTAGCACCCATAATTTAATGAAATGCCCTTTTGGAACTATTTTTTTTTTTTCAAAGATTATATTTCATTTATAGAAAATAACATTTTTCTGGAGGAAATGGTGGGAGAAGTGAAAATTAGTTTTCTCGTACTATAATCATCTTTTTTTTTTAATATTTTATTTATTTGACAGAGAGGGAGAGATCACAAGTAGGTGGAGAGGCAGGCAGAGAGAGAGAGAGAGAGGAGGAAGCACGCTCCCCACTGAGCAGAGAGCCCGATACGGGGCTCGATCCCAGGACCCTGGGATCATGACCTGAGCCGAAGGCAGAGGCTTTAACCCACTGAGCCACCCAGGTGCCCCCTATAATCATCTTTTATTAAGTTGAAGCTTTACATGTTACTAAGGCTGCTTTGGCTACGTTAGCTTTTTTTGTTAATTTTGGTTTGGAAGATAGAATGTGATATAGGCAGAAGCCCATGTATCCCCTTATGTTATATTTGTTTCTGTGCCATCAAGTAAGTGCATAACTTGCAGTGACATCATGATCAGTAGGTGACATTTCCTAGCTGTGGCTTCATTTGTCTTTGGAGTGGTAATTATTAGACTTTGGTGCCCTAGTTTTCTGACATCAGCAGCTACTTTGAAGAATTAGGTTGCTAGGGGTTACCAATGTGTCATGTACATTTTCACCAGCACAAGGTTCAGGTTCCAGATCAGTTATAATACATACCTTCAAGCTTCTTTCCCCCGGGACCACGTTCTCCTAGGCAGGTGTTTGTGAGTGAATGAGTACGTGTGTAAACCATGTTTCAGCCCTTAGGAGAAATACCTAAATGCAATACTTTGGCCTATTTTCTGCCGACATATTATGAAAGTACTAAATGTAATGGATCTTGCTAAAAGAAAGCAAATAGCCTGGAGGTAAAATGTAATGAACTGCCATCAAAAAGTATGGAAGAAAAGACTTTCCTTTGACGGCTATGACTGAATAATTTCCTTGAGTGGGCACAGTTAGCATTCAAAAAGAGGTCGCTTAGTTTTTCTCTGTTTTGAATATGTAATATGATTGGATTCATAACATGACCCTTGACTTTTAGAGAGTCAAAATGAACTTCATCTGGTTAAATACATAAGAGAATTACATTGGGAATTATAGATTTGAATGCTTAGTTGCACCTTGAAGCCAACCAGAGTGACCTTGAGTTTGTCCTTAAATTTCTTATGGGCTCAGTTTCTTAAATGGTAGAAAGACTAGATGGCCAATTAG